GATCCCAGGGATCGAGCCCATGCTGAAAGAGTTAATGCTCACTGTCATATCAAAGCAGGCCATTATCATACCCCAGGTGCAATTAGTTTTCATGTTACTTCACTATTTTTACATTTATAGAACTTACAGAAGTACATGGTAACTTACACATGTACAAAGCTGCTTGTAGAAGATAATAATAGTACTTCTTCGGTATTTTTTTGTTTAAATCGATATAATGTTTAAATATGAAAAAAAAATTTAAGTTTAAACATTATTAAACATAATATAAAACCCTAATTTACAACAATCTTTGGGTCTTAAATATTATATCTATAACTATTCAGTTCTCAAATGCTTTGTAACCAGTCAAGATACATGAATAATCATAACTCGTTTTATTATTCTTGCCCCCAGAGGTGGGGGTCAAGGGTATTGCCATACGAAAACTGACAGACCGATGTACACAAAAATTTTACACAAGATGAGAAGTTAGTATGGGACAGTCCTCCCCAAGTTTGATCTGGATCCAAATTTGGACCCGGATTCTGGATCACTTTGAAGAATTTTTTTATAATGGCAAGATATGGCATTTTCACAGTTTTAGATTAATAACCCTGTAAAGAGTGACCAGATTTGTACCAAATTTCATGGGCACATTAAATTTGAGTTTCCTCATCACACTACAAAAAATTATCTGGTTCATTGATCATTCTAGATCTGAGAATGATTTTCTGAGTTTTCAAAGGGGAAATTTGATGTTATCCGATATTAATGCATTCAATCTTGAAAAGGAGCGGTGGGATGAGGGTATGCAATCTCTGATTGTTCTTGTTTATTAAGCGATTGAGTATTTTGCCAAAGTAAAACCTAGTATTTTTTTTATGTTCTTTAAGTAGCCTAAATTTAAATTACATAGAAAGTAGAATAACATCAATTTATTTAGTAAAATGAACTTTTAATAGTTATAACTTTTTCTTAGAAACCATGAAGAAATGAATAAGAATAAAATTAGAAAGTCTGTTCATATAAAAATAGTTTATTGTGTTAACATGTAACAGTAACTTCGTTCTAGCTGCAGTAATGTTTCATTTTTACAGTATTGTGATATCAGGTAACTTTCTTAAAGTTAGCTGTGTAACAATGTAACCAAATTTTTGGTATTTCTATAATACCAAATTAATATCCACTATAATAATATGGTATTTTGGATTAATCAACATTAACATTATAGTCCTAAAGTAACATAAATAAGTCAAAGTGAAAATAATATTGATATATTCTTGATACTTGAAACCATTGGTATTTGGTGAAACTCCATAATTACAGAATTGAGGACAAACAAAATAAAGACAGTTGTACATTTTACAAAAACTTCATTTATTAATGACCATAGTTTTGCCAGTATCAGGCATCATCAGGTTCATACTGAACTGGTTTGTAAATAGGTTTATATATATATATTTAACCAAAGAACCAGAAGTAACCTGATGTTCACCTTGTGTCAGGTGGGGAGGAGCTTAAGTTGGTTTGGTCATTTAGAAGTGGATATTAAAAGAGCTGCAGGTGTCCTAAACAATTCTAACTTAGAAGAAACATATCTCTAAAATCTAGACACAGTGTTTGTGTGTGGAAAAGGCTAAGCATGAAAATTTACCATGGCAAATTTAACCAATGTTTATACTGTGTTTGTTTAGAAATAATCCGTTATTGGCTGAGATCCTTAACTGGATTGCTGTAGACTAGCTGTGTTTATTTCAGAAAATTTCAAAAACATTTTTATGTTAATTAATAGCCCAATCAAATCAAAATTCTGATGTCTAATGCTTCTTTTTGATAGTATTTGGTACTGTAAGAATGTCTAACTGTTATGAATTTCTGAGAAAATGGAGAATGGTTTAGGTTCCCCTACATCTGCACCTACTTATACAAAATTAAATGATAGTTATTACTTTCTAAAATTGCAAGGCAAGGAAGTTAGGCTCCTGGACCCCCTTTCCTAGATCCACCTCTACTTTTATAACATTTAAATTATATAGCTATTATATCTTGAAAAATGCAAAACTAATGCTTTAAAGTTACAAACTGCATGTAAATACGCAAGGACGCAACAAACCTTCATGAAAAATTTGAGAAGATCCGTTGAAATTTGACGATGTACTGGTAAAAAACGCAAAACATCCTATAACTCCCTTAAAACGAAGAGTAGCATGGTGAAACTTTGCATGTAATTTTGGAACGACCTAGTGAACCTATATATCAAATTTGGTTAAGATGCATCAATTCTGTTCTCTTTGGTAACAAGAAATTGAGAAATAAGTAGTAACAAAAAGCTTCACTGCACTACACATACGATTTCAGAGAAGCCAATAAAGTAGTAACATAAACGACCATAAAAATTGCAAACTAACACTATAAAATTAGTATTTTGAATGTAAATATGAAAGGACGCAACGAACTTTCACTAAAAAATTCGAAAAGATCTGTTGAAATTTGACGAAATACTGATACAAAACGCAAAAACTGCTGTAACTCCCTTAAAACAAAGAGTAGCATAGTGAAACTTTGCGTGTAATTTTGGAACGAACTAATGAACCTACATACCAAATGGTTAAGATGCATCAATTCAGTACCCACTGGTAACAAGAAATCGAGAAACAAAGAATAAGAAAATGCTTCATGGCAGTACAAATACGCTTCAAGAGAATCCAATAAAGTACTAACAAAAAACGACCACAAAAATTGAAAACTAATACTACAAAGTTACAAATGTGCATGTAAATACGAAAGGACGCAAAGAACCTTCATGAAAAATTTCGAGAAGATCCGTTGAAATTTGACGATGTACTGGTAAAAAACGCAAAACATCCTATAACTCCCTTTAAGCGAAGAGTAGCATGGTGAAACTTTGCATGTAATTTTGTAAACATTAAATATTAGTTATTATTATTTTTTTAAATAGGCAGCAGAGGCTTGTTCCACATGGACACTACACCCAGTTCCATGCCTGCTTATACAACATTAAAGAAAATAGTTATTAATTTTTTTAAAAAATGGGTGTGTATGTGTGGAGAGGTGTCTGGACCCCTTGATCATCTTTCACAGATCCACCCCTGCTTGTACAACATTAAATAATACATTTATGCAATTAGGTATTAGAAACATGACACAATGTAAAAATACAGTAATTTTACACTTTAGTTAACATGTAAGTAGCCAGTGAGTTGGCAATGGTTACTGCAAGCCAATTACTCTCCTTTTAATGAGCAGTTGAAATTAATAACAATGACAGATATCCTTTGTAACTTTACAATAAAAACAGATGGTAAGCAAGTTTAGTGGCATTGGGAATCAAGCCTGAGACCCTCATTTCACAAAGCACACCTCATTATATGGCTTAACAACATACAAGCATAATGCAGCATTTCAATCACTTATATAGTAGAAATAATCAACATCTGAACAACTGGCAACATTAATTTTGATTAATTGATTATTTTGTAGTAGTGGTAATAATATACAGACATATGTAACAAATGCTCTTACTGTATGGTGAGTTCTGTTTGTCATATGAAAACATTTGCTGTAGCTTATAGACTCATTAGTCATTTTTAAGGTTTTATTTCAGCCTAAAAGATTATGGTTGCCCTCCAAGTGGGTCAGCAGTAAGTATATGAACATGAAATGGTACACTCTGGGGTTTGATTCTCCATGGTACACAAAGTGCAGATAACCCATTATGTAGCTTTACACTAAAACAACAACAACAGCTAAAGACCAAGAAAGGTATACTGAGTATGTGACAGAGAGTGTGTGTCTGTGTGTGCATTTTGTCGGTGAAAAAGAGAATCAGTATGTATGTTAATTTTTACCTTTTTTGACTTTCATTATTGTGCCATAAATGAGAAAGTTTTTTTTTCACCTATAAAATAACCGGGCTTACCTGTAGTGTTTTATTACTGTTGCACTGTCAAAATTTATTTTATTCACACTTGTATTCCCTCTTTTATGAAACGTTGATATCATCTGGCTCTGAACTTAACATTTTAGTTGTGTTTTTAAGTTACTGTTGACAAAGAAATGAGACAGTTTTAAATTTGTTCTTATCACCATTTTTCAACTAGTGGCTAGAGTCAAAAAACCTGAATATGGATTCATGGTTCATATACCCTTACTGAAAAAAAATGCACTCTGCACTTTGTCTGCTGTAAGAGTAATGGTCAAATTCCAATATTTAATCGGACAAGAGTAGTCCAAGAGCTGACTTTAGATACTGTCGACTAGCTGTCTTCCATCTAATCTGGCAGTTCAAGGTTAGAGACAACTATGTGCAAATAGCCCATATTATGTAGCTTTTTGCACACAAATTTGAAACAACAGATAAACTATTTATGGGGGCATTTGAAGTAGTGCTGCTAATTTTGTTACAGACATGCTATATTAATATTAAACTATTTCTGAAAGTTGCTCTTTATCTCCAAGTATGTCGGAGTAACTCAGTTTCTTACAATATTTTGTTTACTTCCAGTGTTGATCATACATACAAACTGTATTATGGAGGAGCTCAGAAAAGACCAGATGGGAATTCATCACGAGCAGTATATAATTCCAAAGGCAAAGTGATTGCCTATGTTCCAGATGCAGGAAAAAAGGATGTTAGAAATGCAGTAGAAGCAAGTCTTAAAGGTCAACCAAGGTATGTAAGCACTGGATGCCCAAAATACTTAAACTTTAGGTCTTGTTTGTAGAGATGCAGAAAATGGACCTTGCTTGTGTAATATATTTTTATCTTATATTTTGGGATATTTTTTTAATCCATTAGTGGTTTTTGATTTGTTTACTTTTAACATCTCTCTAGATTAGTTTTTAATTCAATTAGTTTGGAATTCTTGTGTTGATAATGGTAGTACTTCAGTAGTGCATTCTTCACTTCATCAGTATTGTAGGATTGTTTAAAAATGTATAGTAGTAGAACTCTGTTTTTTGCAAATCTAGTTACATTTTCACAACCATCAAGTCTTTGTGATTATTCATAACCTGTGTTTTTCTGAGTTTCCTTTAATGTGTCTTATTGTTGCACTAGTAAGATTGCAAAGTATTAATGAGAAACACATACAGGACTTTGTTTTTAATATTTGATTTGTATAGATTTTAGGGTGTAATGGCAATGACACTAAAAAAATGAATGATCTTAAAAATGTGAACTATAGTGACATCAGTGGTATGTAGAAGTATATAATGTTTTAAGGTAATTGATATTGTTGGATATTTAAGAAATCTAAGATGGAGAGCTAACATTACAGCATATAAAACAGTAGTTTTGATATCTGTGACAAAAACATTCTTAAACTGCCATATAAAATTTGTCAGAGAAACAAATCTTCTAACAGTTTTCATATGCAAAAGTTTTTAATTACCCTGTACTTTTGGGTATTATGTGAAGTATGAAGGTATCTAATTACCCCACCCAACCTCCTGTTGAAAGCTTTCACTACAGCAACATTGGTAGACAATATTTCACGGAAAAATAACAAAATCTGATCATTTTTAGATTTATTTATAAGCATTCACTTACTATCCACAATCTTCTGAGCAGTGAGGAATGTATCTGTGACTTCATAAATTCATCTTGTTAAGCAAATAATACTTTAATGCTTACAATTTTAGGAGAAGTGCTGTTACCAAGTTTTATTTGTCTAATATAAGCTTCATACTTGCAGTTATCAAACTCACTCAAATTCTCAGATGTTCTTCATTGTAAGTTTAGTTAATTATCACAGAGTTGTTCATAGTGGTAGAATTTTATTCAAATATGAAACTTAATACTTGATATATTCTAAAAGTTCTAAGAAATGTTCTCTTTTATGTGAGTCAAGGGGCTTACATATTTTTTCGTACAAGAGGAACATGTACATTTTTAGATAATGAATTACTTTTTTATTCATATTATGAAATAATTTTTTTATTTGTACAATGTTCTTCAAAATACATCAAATTTCAATATTTGAATAAACTCTGCCTAAGGTTAAAATTAACTTTTTTGTTATCTGCTATGATTATTCTCATAAATGTTACTATATTATTTTCTTTGGTACATCAAACTCCAAAACGTAGGGGGTTGTTGGTGCATTTAGCATTTCAGTGATATTGCTATCAGTGAAATTACTGTTAAACTTATTACATTTCAAAAATTGTATACTGCAACTTCTTTCATCATACAACATAGAATGACTCATTCTAGTCCTATAAGCATTATTAATAAGTACTTTAAATTTATTTCAAATGCTTTAAGAATAAAACTACTAAAATGGGCATAAAATCCTGAACATATTGGTTTACAATACACAAACTTGCCCTGTTGATTATTTACCAAAGCATCCAGTGATAGCAAACTAGATTGTTGTTCACATTAAAGTATAAACTTTATATTTGGTTCTTTGTTATTCAAATATTTAAAAAACTCATCATTAACATGATCTATGACCTGGATAGTAAATGTATCATCAACATATATATTCTACAGTAAAATGGCTTTCAACATTTTTGTAATAAAACCACTGCAGTTAGTTTAACTTACTAACTTATCACTATTGTAGTATTTCTTGTTTCCTAAAAACTTAAAATATATGTTTTGCATTTCGTTTTATTGTTATTGTTTAATGTTATTGAAGTACAGTAGTCTTACAAGTCAGTAAGCTTTCATAAGTTATATCTTTCAGTAATAGAAGTAACAGTAATATTACTAAATGTAATACAACAAAAGTACTTCATTAGAAGCTTGAAGACTAATGATAGAAGTCTGAAATAATTATTGCCATAAAACTTGAGTTATTTGTATTATTCAGACAAGGAAAGAGCATTCTATATTTCACAACAGATAGATCAGCAGTGAACTCTGAATAATCTAGAAAAAGGCAAATCAGTTATTAATCACTTTCCAAGGCACCAGAGTTTTTCTTGACGGAAGCAAACAAAATATTTAATTGAAACTGATATTTCTTTTATGTTTTATGACTTTTAAAAAACTATTTCACTGAATCTCATCACACAATATTATGTATCTTGTTATTTACTTCACACTTTTGTTGACTTAGGTCAGCTTCCTTATATGTGACTGACCCATATAAAAAGTAGAGTAAATTGTTTGATAGTTTGTGAATTTTTTTTTAGCGCATGCTAGTCCTTATTTCTCGCCACCCCACTATCTGATGGCTTAACTCCTGTTCAAGTGTTTTGACTTTTCACACCAATATTATTGATGTTCGTGTAACCTCAGAAGAACAAAAGCAATTCCATTTATTTGATTTTCTACTTATTTCATTAAAACATTTTGATTTGCCTTTACACATGGACATTTATCAGTCAAACCTGATATTCTTGAGATTTTTTTTTGTACTTTCCAGATTTGATTTTTAATTTTTACAAACATTGACAGCTATTTGAAACTTACGATAAGCAGAAATTGGTAAGATATTAATGGTACTTCTATAGAATACAGTAAGTATAATTACCAGTAATATTATACCTAATAGATTATTACTAAAGGCTTTAAGAATGAAATTTAAAGATTTTTAAAACTTTCTGACAAGCTGGGAGAAACGACCAGGTCACAGTCGAGCACAGATATTGTATTACATTGCCGAGAACATGGAACAAAGAAAGAATGCTTTTGTGGCTCAATTAGAAGAGATGTCAGGGAAAACAGAAGAAGAATGCCTCCAAGAAGTAGATCAGTGTGTTTCAAGTTTATTTACTTTTGCATCATGCTGTGACAAGTTTGGGGGAACTGTCCAGGTAATAATCTGGTTTAACTTTCCTAAGTTACTCTTTAAGTTATTATCTATTTGTTATATAGAATAAAACTAAACTAAAGATTCAAGAAATTCACTATGTATCTATAAAGTAATTGTATCCCATCAAAATTAGCAGTATTTAGATACTAGGTTGAATATTAAGTATAGTTTTTTATAAATTAGTGGGCAAAACTTATATAATAATAAAAAACAACAACAAGTTTATGTGAACTTTAATATTGGCTTTTCTAATTATAAACTAAACTCATTAATGCTGTTAAAGTGTACTTGTCCTTCATTTAAATGAGAATGTAGATTTCTTTTTTATCATGTAACTGCTATAAAGAGGTATAGTGGTGGATTACAAGTTGAACTAACTGGCCATGATGAAATTGTTGACTTGTATTCCTTAGATAGTACTGTGTAATTTGAAAGCTCTTCTGTGTAGTAGTGTAGGTTATTAAACAGTATATGTGAAATGTTACTTTTATTCATAAGCTCATTTAGTTGTTGTTGTTTTCTATCTTGAATTTATAGTGGATTGGTGGTTTTACCTGTGTTTTCATGAAGAACATAATCCAATATTTCTTTGAGTATGCAATATGGTTTTCATGTTTACAAATCTTTTAATCTTTTTCATTCTTATCTCTAAATTTTGATTTTCTGTTTTTAATCCTTTATAGTTCTTTCATGTTTGACATTTTGTAGGTCAGTAAAGTAATGTTTAAAACCATTAAGAAAATATATGCAGTGAAAATTTATTAGTTATATAAATTTCATTCTTATCCTGTCTTGACTTATTTCTCTTTTGAGCATAGTGGGGCACATAAAATGTCACACATTTATTAATTATTGCTGTTTGGTGCATTTTAAACAAACTTCATCGCATGATTATCTGATGTGATAACACAAGACCTCTAACCCTTTATGAAAGATGGAAACTAAAATGTTGGGTACTAAGAAAAATATTCTTCTGTAATTTGTGATCTTATACCACAATTGTTAAAAGAAATCAATGTTTAATGGAACACTGTAAATATTTAAATACTTTTACTTTCATTGTGGACATATACTTTTGTGACTTACTTTACTTATAAGTGTTTTTCATTTCTTAAAAAGAGAAAATGCATTTATATGAAAAGTTTAATAAAACACAGGTGAGCTTTCAATGTTGTGTTGTGAATGTAAAATATGTATTGTTAGTTGTACCAGCTTCAAGTCAATTAAAAAAAGCTCTGTATTTTCTAAAATATATTTATGCTAAACTTGCTTTAGGATACACAGTGCTGAGAAAAATATTATTTTCTATATCACATGTACCTGAATGAAGACTAAAAGCAAACTGGGTCTATTTCAAGGATTTTGTTACCCAATTCTATAGTAATTGAGCAGTATGTGTGAACCAGCAGTGCACCTATGTGGTGTTGAGTGAAACCAGTGTAAGACTGACTTACAACATGCTGTGAAGTAGTGGTGCACCTATGTGTTGAGTGAAACCAGTTTAAGACTGACAACATGCCGTGAAGTAGTGGTGCACCTGTGTGTTGAGTGAGACCAGTATAAAACTGACAACATGCTGTGAAGTAGTGGTGCACCTGTGTGTTGAATGAAACCAGTATAAAACTGACAACATGCTATGAAGTAGTGGTGCACCTATGTGTTGAGTGAAACCACTGTAAGACTGGCTTACAACATGCTATCTATAAAGTAGTTTTTATATTTATGAGAAAAACTTCATCTGTAGTGTACCATCAAATACTTGTATAATTGACATGTATATGTACTAATTACCTCTCTAAATCAGGATTCAAAATGTTAAGACTAGTTTTAGAACTTTGCCTAAAGATTAAATTAGGTTTACAGGTTATAATTCCAAAAAGATTCTAAAATAATAAAAGCTGGAACATTGTACAAATTGCTGAAATTAACACTCTTTGGTTCATAGTGACAGCTTGTATTGCACTAAAGATTGTGTGTTTTAAAGTGTTTCTTTAGACATACACAAACAGACAAAAAATTTAGATTACTTGTAGTTATGCATGCAGTAAAATAATAAGTGAAATTTGAGCCTTAAAGTGTGAGAAGTGTCTGTTTGGCCTATAGTGTATATTATAAAGATGCAATTGAATCTTAAAAACTGAATGAAAATACACACATAAAAACAGAACTAGTTGAAAATTTAATTTCTTTTCTCTAGATAATGATTAAGGAAGCCCACAAAATGTAGTGCAAGAGCCACTTCAAACTACAAAAGTTCTAATGCACTTTTTTCTGTAGTTCTTCTAGGTCTGTAGTAAAAAATACATTTTTGACCGTCAGTGGTTCGGAACACCTTACCGAATGAAGGTTCAATCCTTTGATAATACTAATGTACATAATGTAGTGGTGAGTTCACCATAATTAGTAATATATATTTGGTAGGAAACACTTAATTTATGGGTTATCCAATAAATGAATGAAGTAAAACATTGACATGTCATTTGAAGATATAAAGATTAATAATGATGTTTTTATGTTAAAAAAAGAACATTGTTGATGTACACATTTGATGCTATGTGTGATACTCATTGTGGCCATTTAGAGGAATTGCATATGGTTCTTTGGCAGGCCAGCAGTAAGTTTACAGACATACAATCTTAAAGTGTGGGGTTTGATTCCCCACGGCAGACAGAGTGTGTGGCAACAACTAACAGGTTACACCAGTGCTTGTTTTTCAACATTAAAATTATACTTATTCTACCAAAACACTTCTCCTGCTTCATGTATACTAGGTGTTCAGTACATTCTATTCAAGCAACTCAACTGTTAAATGTGTATCCATTTGCTTCGCCATAATGGTCTGCTCCAATGCAAGGAAGGTGCTACTTTTAACACTATGGTATGTGTTTGTTTTTTAGGTAATGGGCATTATACAAATAAAAAAAAATTATAAATTTTCCATGTGAGTGATATTTAATATGTTGTTACTATTCAACTATTCTCAAATACTTTTTATTAACAAGAAAACAAAGAAAAAATCTGATACAGCTTGAGTGCTGCCTGACAAACATTCAAATGTTTAAGACCATCTTTGAATTCCTCACTAACAAACAAATCTTCCATTGTAGCTCTGCTTTCTTGAGAAGAGAACTTTTTTCCATCTTCTAAGTTTGAGGTTTTTTTTTTTGTAATACTTTAAATTTCATATCATAATTTAAAGTTGTTAAATTTCAAGAATCTTCCTTGTTATTTTATCTTCCTTTTTTTATTTTATCAAATTTTAGAATGACCATAAGTTTTTAAAGATTTCAAATACAATGCTATCCAATATTTATATTTTCAGATAAATATAATGGTGAAGATTTTAAATACTGTAACAAATGATCAACACCAGGAAAAAATAAAATCTAACACATTATGTTTAAATAGATAAATATAGTGTGTAACAAGTTGTTTGAATATACTGAACATCTCTCAAGAACTGCAGTTTGATATGTCGAGATGCCTCATGACTCTTGCACTCTTGCTAAAAAGCTTCCATAGTCATTATGTAAGAAAATAAAAAATCTAAATACATTTTACATAATGCATTTTCATAAGTGTGATATATATACACACACATACACACACACGTATTTAACCAAAACACCAACAAGACTCGCTTGTGGATACGAATACAAAGTCACTGGAATATCAGACTATTCTATGTTTTTTTCTGTTTTATTAAATTCTTTAACTGGTTTTGTGACTTCAAAGGTCACTCTTCAGGATATAATTTAATGAGAATCTATAACAAAAACATACAAGTACTGTTTTTCAACTAAACATAAATATTCTAAATTAATTACATGTGTTTTCAAAAACACACAATACACTCCATGTATAAACGAAGTATATTAAAACACACAATACACTCCATGTAAAACGAAGTATATTAAAACATATAATACACTCCATGTGTAAACTAAGTATATTAAAACACATAGTACACTCCAGGTATAAACTACGTATATTAAAACACATAATACACTTCATGTGTAAACTAAGTATATTAAAACACATAATACACTCCATGTGTAAACTAAGTATATTAAAACACATAATACACTCCATGTATAAACTAAGTATATTAAAACACATAATGCACTCCATGTATAAACTAAGCATATTAAAATTGATCAAAAATATAATTAAAGTTTATCCAATAAACTTTCCTTTTTAAATTAAAATTTTATTCTAATTATACTTTCTCTTTATATACTAAGCATCAAATGCATATTGATATTTTATTTTCAGATAAAACATTTTGTTGTTAAGCACAAAGCTACACTGTGGGCTATGTGTACTGTACTCAACATGGGTATTGAAACCTGGTTTTTAACATTATAAACCTTAAGACATTACTGCAAATCAAAGATACTGCTGATGTTAAACATTAATTTAAGATCTTAATGTTTTAAGAAATGGTTTTATTTGTTTGTTAAGATATATTGTATGAATTTGATTTACCATAACCTTTGTTAATGATCTCAAAAGAAATTATACCACAGTTAATTGTTGTGTAGAACATTTTTAATAATAGTTTCTAATATAATGAGCTTTTACATAAGTGAAAAATTGTTATATGACAATTAGCAAATAACATAAATTTGTTTTTGATTCCTTTCTAAAAAACAAACAAACTTCTGTTTCATAGGAAACTCAGCTCTATGGAATGGTAATAACATCACAAGAAGCAGTGGGTATCATTGGTATAATCTGTCCTGAAGAGTGCCCTCTGTTGGCATTTGTAACTCTTGTTGCTTCTGCAATTGCTCGAGGAAACTCTGTCATTGTTGTTCCAAATGAAAAACAGCCATTGGCAGCCCTTGATATGTATCAGGTGGGTTGTTCATTGAGTAATGTGCCATATTAAAAAACTATGGTAGAGATTAATATGTACCAGGTGGGTTCTTCATTGAGTAATGTGCCATATTAACAAACTATGGTAGAGATTAATATGTATCAGGTGGGTTGTTCATTGAGTAATGTGCCATATTAAAAAACTATGGTAGAGATTAATATGTACCAGGTGGGTTCTTCATTGAGTAATGTGCCATATTAACAAACTATGGTAGAGATTAATATGTACCAGGTGGGTGGATCTTCGTTGAGTGATTTGCCATATTAATAAACTGTGTTTGGTAGCATTTAATACATATCATGTTGGTGTTTCTTCGTTGAGTGATTTGCCATATTAATAAACTGTTTGGTAGTATTTAATAGATATCATGTGGGTGTTTCTTCATTGAGTGATTTGCCATATTAATAAATGGTTTGGTAGCATTTAATACATATCATGTGGGTGTTTCTTCGTTGAGTGATTTGCCATATTAACAAACTATGTTTGGTAGCATTTAATAGATAGCAGGCAGGTATTGACCTAATATGTATATTGATGTCTATAGAAGTTATGTTACACAACTATTTGGTAGGTATACTGTATAATAAGTATATTTGTGATAAGTTGGTTGCTATGATAGATGTGCAAGTTGTAGCAGATAAGCTAACTTAAAACTTTTAGAGAAAGGTGTTTCTGCATACCCCAATATTTTAGACATAGTGAATTTTTCTTGCTTCTGCATTTAATTCAAGATCATATTCCTTTTGTGTGTGTAAAGCTGTTAAAAAAATAAGAATAGAGGTGAAAAAAAACACATACTGTCTAACTTGGTATTTTCGAGATAACTAATATTTAACAATCACTAATATGTATATTTAAGACTTATTTATTTTTAAGCAGCTTTTAGTGAAACGATTTGGAAATAGCAATTTATAAAATTGACCCAAAGGACTTCTATGTCAAATATCTTTTTTGTTATGGATGATGATTTTATTGAAACTTATGTAGAAGATTTTGAAAACATTTTGATACAAGAAAATCACTGTTTCATAATGGTTGTAATTTACTTCATTGAAATTTATATTTATTATAAAGTTAAGTAATGCCATATTTTGAAAGTATTTCAACAAAGGTTTAAAAGTTAACCTGTTGAGTTTCAACTTGAGATTTTGTTCTTAGATAAAATAATGACAAACACATACCAGTATTCTTTTTTCTTGTTTGCAGTGAACTGTAAGAAGTACATAACTCCTATTAAATCAAACTTGTAGAAGTAAATTACTAAACTTAAGGCATTTTTTAAAGAAAGAAGTCTGTTGAAATCGTTTTTGAAACATTTTCCAAGTCCAGAAAAATTTCTGAGGGACATGTAATAAAAATTTGAAAGCTTGTATCTTCTGTACATTTGTAATAATGCGGAAAGCAAAAACATTCATTTTTTTTTTATTTTAGTTTTGAAAAGTGAGTTCACATTTAAGATAAACTGGTTCCCTAAAGATCTAAAACATGTAATGGAACCTTGCCTAATAGATACTTTGAATCTCAGTTTCTGATTTAATCTACACATGTATATGTGGTAAGTGAAGTTAGACTTACTACAATGTTGTCTAAAGCATTATTTATTATTTTCAAATCATTTATGTTGAATTTGGTACAAGAAACATCATAAAATTGTATAAAACATCAGTTTTTAGAGAAACTAGATATAAGTGTAACATTTAGAATCTTGTTGGTTGGTAACTGTAAATCAAACATACAATATATATTATGGTAGGGATGTGTAAATTAGTTACCTCACTTTTTAAAGGTTTTTCCTTTATCTGGTTAAAATTCTAGTGGCCTTTATTAAATATGTAGTATGAACATAAATATGGTTTGAACCATTCAAGCAGGTATAGATTGTCAGGATTACTAAAATGTGTATAAGGTTAACTAAAAGTTCTGGTAAAAATATTAGTAGACCCAATGCACAGAAAAAGGTATTAAATATCTTTTGAAGTTCAGAATTGTGCAGTCTGTTATATGTTTAGAAACATAACATCAGGATGAAAAGAGATGTGCTTAATAACGGAACTATTACAAAACATCTTTTAAAATACATTAAAGTTAATCAAGATATACTCATCACTGAAACAACATCTTTATTTCATATTTAAGTATCCTAATTTTGTAAGTCTTGATCTCTTCAGATTATTCAGTAGTTTTATAAAAGAAAATGCAGTCATGGTTGCAAGAATAATTAATAAACAGTGCACACTTTATTAAGCAATATCCATCTACTAATGAAATGTAATAAAAAAGTTACTTTACCAGAGAATGTTAAAATTATATTCCTTACTTAACGATAATTCAAAAATAATAACTGACCAGCTTTATTATATTCTAGGATTTCATAAAGCTTTCCTTATTTTAATATATAAAGTATTTTAAAATCTTTTTCTTTTTGTATTGAAGGTTTTTGATACATCAGATGTTCCACCAGGTGTTATAAATATCCTTACTGGCTCTCAAGATCATCTGGCACGTTGCTTAGCTGAACACCAAGACATTCAGTCAATATGGTATTATGGCTGTTCTCCAGATGGAGCTGCAGTTGTAGAGCATGCTTCTTCACAAAACTTCAAACGCACTTGGGTCGGTTCCATAAACATGCAGATGTGGTACAAACCCAGTGAAATCTGTGTGAAGTTGATGAAGGAGGCTTGTCACAATAAAACACTTTGGATACCAATGGGAGAAATTTTTGCCAATTAAAATTTTAAATTTGTGAAATTTTAAAAACTATAATTTCCATTTTTTGTTTCTAAACATTATGATAATTTGTAGTCAACCCCCCATCATATCGTGTATGTTTTTGCTTAAAGTTGTATGTCAGCATGTTTAATGCATTTATATAGAACCATCATTTCAATGATTATCAAATTACATTAAAGCTTAGATACAAAAGAAAATTAATAACGAGATGTAAGATATAGTTAACAGTGTTAGTAACAATGTGAGGCATAACTGTACAAATCAGTATAAACACATTTTATTAATCATATGATGTTGTTCATATCAGGCTTACAGAGTTACACTAACATACAATGTAAAGTAGAAATTAAGTTTTATCAGCTGTTCAACAAGTCATAAGGTCAAAGACCAGTAAAATAGTGTACATGTAAGGGTAATCACCAGGCCATGCTCAGACAGGTAGGATAGTGTACTTGTAAGGTTTTGACATAAACCTGTTGATGATCTAAAAATAATTGTAGAATAGTGTACACATAGGCTAAATGACCATACCTAATTTTGAACTGCTGACCAGAGGAAGGGAAGCTGGTCAGCAACTTCCACCACCACACACACTTTCTAGCCCTTGGATTCAAATAATGGGATTGTCTGTCATTTTCATAATGTGATCACAGCTAAACGTGCAGATGTCCAGTTGATTGAGGCTTCCATTCTGAATTGTAGCCCACTAGCCAACAGGCCTAGAAGAATATTGTATATGTAAGGCTTGTACATCTATTTTTAGATCTAATTATAGTTGCAGAATGTTGTACGTGCAAGGCTTATATATATATATATTGCATATTATAAAATCTAGTATTAATTGTTGAATATTGTACAGAAAGTTTTAAGTTCTAATAGTATCTGAATATATATATGTTATACATAACCTCAGATGTAAAGGAAGTCAAGGGCATATTTTTAGATCTAACTATAGTTGTAAGATGTTGTATGAGCAAGGCTTAGATGTACTGCGTGTTCTAAGATATGGTATTAAACATTGAATATTGTACAGAAAGTTTTACGATGTAATGCTATACATAGGCTTATATGTAAAGAAAGTAAAGGATATAATTTTAATTGAACATTGTTTTACATATACATGTTGGTTTTGGAATTACAGCATATCTCTAGATAATATAGAAGTCATAAGTTTGATAAATAGCAAATTTGAGACTTATATTGATTAAATGGTCAAAGTTAAGTTGCATTAAATTATGTATTCTTGGCATTATTTACTGACCACAATGTAAATTATGAAACTATTTGATATATATCAACAAACCATTTATATTGAGAGTTACTAAAGGTGTATCAGCCTTGTACTGTTATGTTAGGGATAAATTACAGTACACAGACTTTAATCAACACATTTCATAGAGTGATGAAAGATACAGTATAAGTATTGCAAGGTGTAAGTGCTTTACAAATTAAACCATGTTATTCATTTCACAATGACATGGACACAGACTTTAATCAACACATTTCATGGATTGATGAAAGATACTGTATAAGTATTGCAAGGTGTAAGTGCTTTACAAATTAAACAATGTTATTCATTTCACAATGACATGGACACAGACTTTAATCAACACATTTCATGGAGTGATGAAAGATACTGTATAAGTATTGCAAGGTGTAAGTGCTTTACAAATTAAACTCATTTCACAATGACATGGTGAAAAGGAAGACTATTTTGTCCTTTTAAAATCAACTTGCTTCATACAGTTTTTTTTGCCTTATGCTTTTGTTAAATATGATGAACAAATGTTTTAAGATCATCGAACAATACACTGAGTGGTTATAATTTATATAAGTCCATATTGAATTTTCAATACCCATTCCCATTTTTGGGGGAAAAAAGTGCATGCATTAAACATGCAAGTTCATTAAAAAAGTGCACAAAGGCTAGATAATTGAACATTGAGTGTTGATTCAGTAGTATTTAATGTAATGCTAATCCCACCTACTGTCCATTAAGATCCCGTATGTTATTTTGTGAGCACAAACTTAGATGTTATTTTTTTCCTTATTTCCTTTTTTTTATAAATGTTTACTTTTTCCTATTTTTCTACTTATATTGTGAAATACAAAATATTAGAATGCTTTTTTCGGCATTTTTAAGTTACTTGACATTTAAAAATGATGTTGAAAACGTCCACATACTGACAATTTGGTTAGAAATGATCTAATACATAACAGTTAGTTTCAAGTTATTGTAAGCAGTATTTAATAACAAAAAGATGTGATTTACAACAAATTATTAATTTTATTTATACTGAATTTCTGTTTTGATGTACCAGTTGCATATTAATATTACAGACTCAATAGTTTAAGAACCTCTGTGTTCTGTTTTGCTTTTACTTCAACTTATTTTTGTTGCATTCTATTGTATTAGCCTTGATATTCACAGTTAAGATTTGTCAGTAGATTTTCAGAGTTCCTGTATAGTCTATTGATTATACAAGGCATATGCTAATGGTGTTCAAAGCATCTGACAAAGACATCTCTGGCTTTTCAATCTCAAAATCTCTTGGGAATTGGAAATGTTCTTACAATAAGTGTTATGACATCTTGTAGCTGCACTGGTTTGTGTACCAAGTTATACTGTTGCTGCATCTGTCATGTGCCACTTATCGGATATTTTTTAATTTTTATCAGCTGTCATCACTCGTCTATCCATTCTGTTTTCTTTGGTTTATTGTTGATACGTTATGGACTGCATATGTCTTGTTTAAAACAACACGTGTTCTTGGATAATTGTAAGTAACTAATTTTCCTTTCCCATTAAATATTGTATAATTCAGCAGAGATGAACAATTTTTGTTGAAAATATGTTGTGGAATTAGCTTGTACAAACTTTTTAGTGATTATAAATTGAACATTATCAAAAACTTGTAATGCGAAACAGATATCAATAAAAGCTTACAACTTCAAGATTCAGGGAAAACATAAATTCAGCAAGTATTATGAATATGTTCTTTACGCATGCTATACTCATTTGTAGGATCACTCTGAACATACATTGTTAATGTAGATATGACATGCCTCTTTATATGATGCACATAAGATTAAATAGCATGGTTTTTAGCTATTAGATTTAATAGGCTTCTTACATGATGTGTGTATACTGTCTGATATAAAAAGCTTGAGCCATAAATGTATTTTGATGGAATCCTTTTTGCTTTATTTTTTTCTGTCCTGTAAAGAAGGTAAAAATATGTATCCCTGATATTACTATGAAGTTCTTATTTTTATATAAAATTGCTTTGTGTTACTAATCAGTGTTGATAGTAAATGGAAACTAAAATTTGACATTTATTAGATGTATATGTACACACACACACACACTCTTCAAACGCATACACATTTATAACATACGTCTTAGTGAAGGTGTAGAGTATATTCTTTTTTTTTTAATTCAGCTCCTGAAAACCATACTTTACTAAGCCTTTTATCTGTATCTGTTCCTTAAGTAATTTAAGAAAATCATCAGACTTTTTTTTTGCTTTTAAATGTGAATAATAGTGGTTTCACCAGGTTTTTGTTTAATCTCCCATTTGAAATTTAGTGCAATTAGGACATTTTGAACACGTGTAGCAGGGAGAGATTAGGAATTTTTACTATATCATCAAATGAAAGTATCATTGACAAGCTTAATATATGTATTGTTTTCTTGGGTGAGATTAATCATGCAGTCCAAGGTGAAAATCTTTACTTACAATATAGTATATATAAAACAAAACTGAAACAGTTTTGTGGATTGTTTTTGAAACATTATTCCCTGTTTATATGAATGTGGATGTTCTTTTCATCGCATGCAAAGTTCTGGAATTTTTGTAGTCGTTCATTTCAGGTTTTTGATAGTAGAGACAAACCTAATATGAATGAAAAGAAAGATTAGCAGTAGAAGTAATACAAATATTCAATATAATACAATTACATTGAATATTTAACATAAATAACATTATTCTGCAAAAACAAACTGTCAAAGTGCTGTTTGTAAAAGATCCTGTTAGTTTTCTAGAAAGATTTTCATATAATATTAATTAATAGTTTGTTTTGTGTACATACGTTTTACATAAAGTTACTGCAGTTCTATAAATTCAGTAGTGTTCTTGGTTTAATATTTATGTAAGTTAATGGATTTGTATTCATGGGACCAATTCTTTTTACTTTAATACAGTCAAAGGTAGTATGTCTACAGTTCAAATTGCCAATAAAATGGTTTTATTTAATTGCAAGTTTTATGTTTCAGCTAGTGATATATCTGAAAGAGCATGAAATGATACATGGTCACTTTTTCTTTCATAGGTCAATAAAAATGTGCTCCATTTCAGTAGTAGTGTTAAAATAAAGCTTTACCTCGTTTATATGGGTAGAAATAACTATCCTTGCTGATTTAACACACAAATAGAAGTAGTTCCTTGAAGTTAAAAAAAGAAAAAAGAATTTGCTATTTCATCAATGTAGTTGTTATTGGTTGGTGTGTCGTTAAGTGATCAAATGTTTTAAGTCATTATCCTATATTTACATGAAAACAAATTGAAGATACTTGACATGGTGTAAACGTTATTCTGACTTCATCCAGTTCAATGTGCTATAAGAATTGTTATTTAGTTACTGTTTGTACCAATTTTATTTTTATGATTCTTTTTTTATATCTGTTGTTTCACAGATGTTAAAGTTCTTGTTTTAGGAATTTCTTATATTTTCTTTGAGAAAATAGATATGTTAAAAAATTTATGAATTGATATTAAATTTATGTGTTAATAAAATGGTACACGTGTTACATTTATTTGCAGTACACTGTTTTAAATAGTAAGTTTTGAAAATAAATACGATATACGATTTGTCTTTGGTTGTTTTTTTTTGTTGTTTTTTTGTATATTGTACTCTACCAGAAAAGTATAAGTATAATCTTGTCGTCAGAATTTAAAAATTATATAAAAGTTCTTTTTTGCCATTTGTCGAAATAAATGGCCTTTTACATATATTTCATAATAGTATAAATATATAGTATATTGTTGTTGAGCTTAGGAGTTTTTTACAGTAGGTGTCTGTGATTTGTTAGCGAAAAATTCAACGATGAATAAATAGCACACACTTTGTTTTCAAATAATATATATATACACCTGGAAAAAGTTAAGCACCCCCGTGTTTTTTTCAAGTGATTCAGATTCGACGTTCTTGT